TTCAAATTCAGGAAAACGATTTCTTACATTGATCTTTTTTGCGTTCTATTTAAAATAATTACGTAAAGGCAAAATTATTTTAACTTTTATTTATTAAAATTAGTTGTGTTTGTAAACCTAACAAGACATAATAAGACTGGCAGTAAAACCATTTCATATCTACAGTCCATGGCCAAATTGTTAGTCGCACTATAACAGGGGTGGCGAACCTTTATACACCAACGTGCCATTTTTTCTAAAAAATTGTTTAAGGAAATCACAAACGTGCCGTCAAATAATTTTGACTTCATGATTATTGGGAAAATAGTACTAATACTAAATACTATCAACTCAAACCTCTTTATTTACATTGAAAAAAAAATACATTTTGCAATGTCTCAGTTACAGGCGTAATTCAACTTAAAGCAACATCAGTGGGACTTCTGTTGTTGCAGATTAGATGACAAATAAATTATATTAGGTTGCAAGATATTAGTTTAAGCAGGACTGTTGATTTCTTTTTTGCTAGTAATTTATAGTTAGCTTGTTTTTTATGGTTATTAATTGTATTTTTTAGCATTAATTGTTAATTTTTTTATTAATAATTGTTTATTATTTTGTTTGTTTTTTGTGAATTTTAATTTAATTGTTACATGTGCTTCATAGCGTAATGACATTTGTGTAATAACAATTCATAGTGCAATGACAATTGTGATCGGTGGCGTGCCCAAAATATTGTGTCGCGTGCCATTGGTTCGCCATCCCTGCACTACAAGATTCGATGTAAAATCTTAATTATCAGGTGATATTATACAGCTTTATTGTTTTGAATCAACTGAAACCGGTTTGCACTTATTTAAGTTCGTGTATCAATTGGTTAACATTGTAATTCAATTCGTTAAAAATAAAAGCAAATCGGAAGTATATAAAAAATCTCCTGAATAAGAACCCATTACATGTATGTTTAAATATAAAGTTATTGCATGTAAACTGTCGCAAAACATGCCATTATTAAAATAGTGCAGTGCGTCTAATAATTTGATCTAATTATTATAATATACTAATATAATACCTGATATAATAAATATTCTATACTTATATAATATATCATCTAATTTATCCAATCATCAAATTTATATTATATATCGTCTAATTTAACCCATTGATGCCCGAACGTAAACAAGTGCAAACCGGTTTCAGTCGCGTAAAAACTATAAAGCTGTATAGTATTACCTGTTAATTAAGATTTTACATAGAATCTTATAGTGCGTCTAGTAATTTGGCCAGAGACTGTATGNTAAGTATTCTATATTTATATAATATATCGTCTAATGTTGTTGTTTCTATTGCTACTTTCCACACTAGCAAGCCTGCTTGCTGAAACCGAGCAAATTTAAGGCAGAAGGTGCGTTTCTTGCTTTTCAGTGGCGCCATCTATGACCAAAAATTCGTCTTCAGCCACACACACGTCACACCCGTTTATAGGGCAGACCCATTCGTACTTCCATTCATTCATCCACAGATCGTAATTTTTGACCTGGATCAGAAAACGATCGATCTCCAATCCAGTATCCCCAGAGGTATTGATTTGTTATGGGAACATGGTGGACTTTGCGACTCGATGGATTTGATGTGCATCAGTCACCATTTACTACACAGGGAGTCTTCGGCCGGTGGGGTACGAACCCACGAACTCATATATATCGTCTAATTTATCCAATCATCAAATTTATATTATACGTCGTCTAATTTAACCAATTGATACCCGAACGTAAACAAGTGCAAACCGGTTTCAGTCGCGTAAAAACTATAAAGCTGTATAGTATTACCTGTTAATTAAGATTTTACATAGAATCTTATAGTGCGTCTAGTAATTTGGCCAGAGACTGTAGCTTCTTTTCGGGACAAGTTAAGGCTACCAAGGCTGAAAGTTATAATGCTTATAGAAGACTGTTTCAATCATTGTAAAACAACTGTTTATTAAGTTTTTCTTGTCATGGAGTTTCGCTCATTGCGAAAACAAGCAAGTAAAAAGATGATTTTACTACCAGTTTACTGATAACTTTAAAGAATGAAATAGATTAATTCTTTACAGGGTTCCCATGGATCTTAGAAGATTATTGGTGTGGCAGTAAATTTATACTATTCCCTTTTTGAAATGCCTCTTCAACCCATTTATGCTTAGCGTCCTTTCAAAAATATGATTCCTTTATTAAAAAGAAAGCAAGTAATATTAAAAAAAAAAAAAAATAAAAGTCAATTCCTACTTGGATTAATAAAGAAAATTTTTATTTAAATTACATTCTATTAAATAATTAAAAAAATTTCTCCCTTATATAACTAAAATTAATTAATTAAATTTTATTAATGAATTAATATTTGAAAAACCTATATTAACATCAAGTGCCATCCACTATAAGTTCAAAAATGGAGTGGATGAATTAAAAGAATTTTTATTAACGATTTAAAATTTCAACAAGATATATCAGGGCTCGAAAAAACTCAGAAATTTTACCCGTCCCCGTGGACGGCTTGTCCAACCATGTACCCGTCCTCCTTTGAAACTAACTCGTAGCTTCTAAACAAATAAATATATAATTTTCTCTTATTTATTACAAACATTTATATAAATTGCACAATGAATTAGTAGTTACTAAGATTACAAATACTAGGATTGCATTATACAGTAATAAAAGGAATACTAGGTTACTAACAGGAACCTAGTATTTCTTTTATAAAATAATTTAAATGACAAATGTCAAGTTATCTGGAATGTCAATTTATCCGGGGTACTGCGTTTTTTAAATAAATCAAATATGACGTTTGCCAGTTGCACAATCAAGGTAATGATTTACAGAGGTTTCTGCACAGAAATCTGAAAAGGGTTTTCCATTTAGGTGGATATTCATAACTGCGTTTAACGCTTCTTTCTTAAGACTAGTACGCGATTTTTTTTCTTTGTAAATTCATTGTTGAAAAGCCCCTTTCAACCGCTGCAGTACGGGAGACAGAGAAAACATCAATTCCACCATGCGCAGTATGTTGCTGTATTTCTAGATTCGAGGGTTATTTTGGAAGTGAGGCGCTAGACTCTTGTAAGATAACAAAAATTGAAATTGAATCACGAACATTAACGGGAAAATGGCCGTCCGCGCGGACGTTGGATTCGAGAAATTAGTTGTCCGCGGGGAATTTTTGACCGCCGAGGACGGGTGGACGGGCTGTTTTTCGAGCCCTGTATAAATATATATAGGAAGAGAATGCGAACTAATAGTAGGAATTGAAAAATGACATCACAAGTGATTTCTTATCTAAAATAGTTCTGTCTCGCATAATATTTTAATAATATTAATTTCTAGATTCTGATCTGAAATCATTGCACAGTGCTTGCTTAAAGTTAAAGGGGTAACTAAGGAGAGAAATATCCTCTTTGTACATACAAATCTGCCATGTAGGTGTTTTTCATATAAAGAGTGCTTATTGCGGTTAGTCATTGATGTGCTATCGTATCGAATCAATCACAATCATGGCCATGTTATTGCTCAACGCTCTAAGGCCCTGATGGGGCCTTTTACCTTTATCATCTTGATTTTTTTGAAGTCGTGAACTAATTTTCATCATGAGTTTTGAAAGCAGAAAAAAAAATAAAAGGAAAAATAATTATGATAGAGAAAAAAGTCAAATGTAGTGTTGCAAATAAAATTTAATAAATTAAATTATAATGTAAAATTTATAAATTGTAAAAGGTTAAAACTTGTGAAGAATTAATTGAATTTATCCGATAAAATAGCATCGTTAGTGAAAAAATGGACTAGGTATCTGATTTTGAAATCTTCAATTAGTATTAATTTATTTTATAACCGTCGTTGAACAGCAGATCCAATTTTATGGGTTTACGACTACTAATGTTCAACTCCCGTAGCCTGTAATTTTGAACCCAATCCAGAAGACAAGGGAACTCCTGGATCGAGTATTGGGAGAAATTTACCTTCGTGGAGGACTTTTTGATGGAGCTAACCCACATTTGCGTTATATGGAGAGGAAGACCACGAGAAACTTCCCACGGTTAGCCTAACGACAAGGGGACTCTAACCCAAGATCCGTCTACCACTGAGGATTTTTCACGTCAGCACTGCGGTCGGTGCAAGCCGGATGCGGATTTCGTGTCGACTGGGATTCGAACCCGGTTCGCCTCATTGGAAGGCGAAAGCTATATCCCCTGAGCCATCGCGGCTCTCAATTAGCATTACTGTTTTAAAAATATTTTTGTAGTTTGCGCAGTTTTTTTTATGCGAAATTGTGTTTTAACCCTTTTGAAGGCCGTGGTAAGTATACTTACCACCACGTTTTACCACTTTTAATTTAGGTTTCCATATTTCAATAACTTCAGCTTTCTTGAAGTGAGTTTGAATAAAATTGGTAACCATTTGTCACTTTTAAAAAACGTATAAAAGTTATAAAATACGTAATTCCTTTTGAAGTTTGTAGCATTTAAGGAATTTATTTTATAAATAAAGAAAAATAAAAATCAGTAAGTTCCTAATAGGTCATGTTAAATATATTTACCACCAAAAAAATGGCATTTTTATAAACTAAATGAGTTTTTTTTTTATATCAATTACTGTTCTTAAAACAATTTCAATTCCAAAAATACTTTAATTTACCTTTACTGGAAATAAAGAGCCTAAATAACTGCCTTGAAAATTTTAAAAAGCAGTAACGAATATAAAACATATATCGATATATTTTAATTTCTATGAAACCACCACTAAAATTTATTTTCCAAAGTAAGTATATATGAAAATTCCACCTTCTAAGCAACTTAACGATAAAGAGGTACATTAAAATAATTAATATCGTCTAGCATTAACCTAAATTTCACATTTTTCTTAGTAATTTATTTTGGAAGTTTTTTAGTATTTACATTATTGTAATTGCACCAGGCAGGGGATGCATAAGTAATTATAGGTTTGATATATGTGAGGTATATGTATAGTTTGTTTTTAAATGACATTTTGGAGTAAGGACCAAGTAGACATTTTAATTTATTGCATATTTCAGTGACTTTAGCTATTATTTTCTTAACATGATCATTCCAGTAAAAAAAATTTTTTATTGTGAGGTCTAGATAGGTAGCTTTATTAACATTACCCTAGCAACAAAATAACTTGGGCCAATATTCATGAATATTGGTTCAGTAAGGATTCAAAGAGCCTTTATTTTTCCGATATTGGCCCTATATGGAATTGATACGTTCCCCCGATATTTTATATCCATTATTTAGCCAATGTAGGACCTATGTAGACTATTCTAGGACCAATATTAAAAGTCTAGACATCCCAATGTAGGTCTCTCGGTGCAAGTTCTTATAGAACCCAACTGGGGCCAAGGTAAAATTGTTGCTATGATAGTAGTATTTCCAAAGAAAGTTAATGTACTTTTTATAAAACCAACCAATTAATATCCTACAAATATATTTCATAAAAAATTATAATATGCAGTGTTACCGACCAAAAATACAGAAGTTTGTTTATGTTTTGCGTTGCCATTTTCATTTATGAAGATTTGGCAAACCTGTGGGAATCTTGTATTTCGCTTTTATCTTACGAAAAATAATATCGTGAAATGTTGCATTCCAAGGAAGACAATTGAGTTTTGTTCCATACTCCAAATAACTCTACAATCATAGGGCAGTAATCAGTCTTAAATGTGTAATAGTTATTCGATATATTATGATGCATAAACCACTATCATTCAGTCGGTAATGGTGGTTAAAGAACGTAGTGGTTTATGTGATACTAGGAACACAATTTTTGGGTATCACATTTTATAGAAGACAATGATTGGAGTTTGTTCCATAAGCTCAACAACTTTTTCTGAGTCATTTTGAAAAACAGTGATGTACAACAATTATTGGACCACCTAAGACCATCCCTTGCGTGATAGTGGCTTTAGAATATGGTAGTTTAAGTGATACTGGAAAAACTATCTTTGGGTCTTACATTTCATAGTAGATAGTGCTTGGAGTTTGTTCCACATACTTAATAACTCTTCAGGAGTCATTCTGTGGGCAGTAATCAAAGTCTTGAAAGTACAGTAAGTATTCGATCTCTTTTTATATCTAAAACCACTATCATCCACAGGATGGAGACCAATTTTACTGGCGCACATACCAGTTATGAAAATATCTTCCAAATAGAAAAATTCCATTTCCAATGCAGCTTTATACAAACCGGGTACAGCTTCTCCGGAAAATACATATCCCGTTCCCGATAGATATGGTGGATATTCCTTGCCAGAAAACATTTCCTCCGAAACGTACCACTTAGAATTTCGGTCTTTAACTGGCGCAGCACCTTTTATGAGACAGCCCATCAGCATTTTCGGATGTCCCTTAGATTGCAATCTTTCACGAAGATTGGGCAGGTTGACAAACATGTCATCGTCTGTTTTCATAACATACGTGGCATGTGCACAGGTTTGGTTGACCCATTTCAGCAACATCACAGACTTTAAGGTTAGGTTGTTGTAAGTGTCCAAGAAGTCTTCCTGGATGATATCGTTGTGTTCATCGCCCTCCCTGACAACAGCAGCGTTCAAGACATCGTCGTTGGTTCTTCCTAGAAGGAAATATATCTGAATATCGGGCATTGCATGTTGTCCCCATGTTTGTCGAATGGCATCTCTGGCTTTGGAGTTTGGGATAGCCGAGCACACTACAATCACGAGAAAGACACTGCCGTTGCATGGTAGCTCGGGCTGTATGAGACTGGCATTAGTTTCAGGGAGTATGTAACTGGATAATAGTCTGCGTAGAAGAATGGGTGACTGATAATTCCGTGCTGATGCCTCAGAAACTGCTGGAGTGTTATTTCCCACACTGGCTGAACTGTACTGTACTGGCATGTAGCAGTATACCCATATGATGGCGGCAAATGCTATCAGCAGACAAATTCTAACGATAACACTTTGAGTAATCATCCACAAAGTTTCCTATTTCTTTCCTCTGTAACAGAATAAAAAATTATATTTAAATAGCAATTTGAGAAAGCACTATACAGTCGAACCTTGTTAACGCGGGACTATCGTAATTATTTCATGTTAACCGAATTTCGTTTTATCCGATACATCATGAAAAAAATTTATTACGTATTTTTAATACATATTATGTACTAAATTATTGTATGCAAGCAATACTATTATAAACCAAACGAAGTAAAATAAGCTTGAATGGTTTTAACTACTTTATTAAACTATTTTATTTATTTGCCCATCTGCTACTTCTGAACAAGGAAGAAAATAGAAATAGCATTCCTCAAAATGAATGATTGGGATTTCATTCACATGCTTATTATCTGTGATGTGTCCAGTTTCTTTTCATGTTAAGCGATAATCAGATTGAAAATTTCATGTTAAACTTTATTTTATTTTATAACCTTTGTTGAACAGCCGACCCAATTTCAACGATTTACGACTACTTATGTTCAACTCCATAGCCTTGTAATTTTGAACCCAATCCAGAACACAGGGGAGCTCCTGGATCGAGTATTGGAAGATATTTGCCTTCGTGGAGGACTTTTTGATGGATCTAATCCGCATTTGCGTTATAGCTCGTTCACCAGGAGTTGGCACTTGGCTCCGCCTTCATCACGTGGTATGCGACGATACCATTTCGCTATTTTTGGGAGAAGGTTGGGAGCAATCCTGAACAATGTTGCTATTTGGCGATCGTTAAGCAAAAATATTTATTTCGCAAACTTTATGTGCATTTTTTTAACAATAAATATTTCATAAATTTGATGATATTTTGCACCATTTTTTATGATATTTCTTTCTTTTGAGTGAATACTTTGTCCTTTATGAGTCATTTCGCTGGGAGTACAGCAGTTTTTAAATTTAAACTATATTTAATTAGCTTGTGTAACAAAATGTATAATAGTAGATGATAAAGCAAAGTAAGTGACTGAAAAAGAATTCACTTTTCGTGTTTGGCGCAAATTAAGGGTTGTCTCAATTTCAACAACGGAGATGTTTCTCTTCTAACTCCCGCGCTGAAATGAACTCTGCGTCCCAGGAGGTGGAGCCAAGTCTCAACTTCTGGTGAACGAACTATACATGGAGAGGAAGATCACGAGAACCTCCCACGGTTAGCCTGACTGCAAGGGGACTCTAACCCAAGATCCGTCTACCACTGAGTATATTTCACGTCAGCACTGTGGTCGGTGCAAGCCGGATGCGGAATTCGTATCGACTGGGATTCGAACCCGGTTCGCCGCATTGGTAGGCAAACGCTCTATCCCCTGAGCCATCGCGGCTCTCATGTTAAACTTGTAAAATACAACAATAATTGATTGCTGATTCGCGGGACCAAACATGTATTTGGTTTAGTGTCGATATCTCACTTTAAGCAGTTCCGCGTTAATAAGATTCGACTGTATTTCAACTGGAAGCAAATGATACCATAGCTGCATATTCTTCCAGATTTTCCAGAAAATTTTATTTTTATATTTAAAGCGATAAAAAAGCTTACGCCATATTTCATTCTTTAAAAATTTCTGTCTGTGGCAGACCGTGCAAAGTCATAGGGGGGCGAGCCACGTTAGAAGTAAAATTTCGAGCAGTGAGGATTCCGGCACGAGTTGTGATTACCAGGAAAACTAGGTCGCTGCTTTAAAAAATGCTTACTACTTGTATATATGCAAATAGATCGTTGTAAATAATACTTTCAATAAATTTTAATGTATATTTTACTTTTATCATCAATCGCCTCTGATTTAATTTTCTGACTTTATACACTAAGTCACCTAGTCACCCTTTTCTTTCCCACTTTTCATTGAACTTCATGACTTTCAATGCATGAAAAACAGATTCGATGAATTGGTCAATAACTTCAATTTGTCGGCATTCTTGTGATTTCCAAAGTGAAACTATGTGTACGACTACACATAAGTTTTTTTGATTTTTCAATTTTTATTCTATAATTTTTATTCTACAATTTTTATTCTAATTTTATTTTTAGGTCCACTTCGGCCTCTGGCACCCTGACCAACCGACAGGACTAGGACAATTTTTATTTCATTACCATTTGAGAGAATCGTTCTTGCCAAGAGCGAAAGTTAACGCCGTATGCGGTAGTAGTCTAAGTATTTAATAAGATATTTACTTCTAGTTAAATAATTTATGCCCGGTGACATAGTGGTAGCTCTCCGCACATTCGTGTCACAGGTCCTTGGTTCGATCCTTGGGCCGGGCAAGGACTCAGCCTTTCATTCCTTCAATGGGTCGATAAAATGAGCACCAAGCGTGCTTGGGAACTAAACACTGGGGGTTACGCGTTCGGCTGACCACCCAACTGGAACATCTGCTCTTGCGCCCCAGAGCCCAAGGCCAATGAAACTGAGATGGGAATAGTAGGTTTTGGCCCTCTGTGGGCTGTTGTGCCACTGAGTTTAGTTTAGTAAGTAAATTAAAGTATTTTTGGAATTGAAATGGATATAGGAAAAACATTCATTTAGCTCTTTAGATAAAATTAATTTAAATTCTAACGCCTTTTTTTGATGGTAAGTATGTTTATCACCACCCGTAGGGTGCTTAAAAGTAGAAAACTGGCATCTACCTTTTTACATAAATTTTATAAATAATTGAAACTGAAAAAGAAATTTTGTATTTTATAACTTTTTATACGTTTTCTAAAACTGGCATATGGTCATGAATTTTACTCACATGCTATCAGATTTGAAGTTATTAACAAATATAAACAATTAAAAATGGTAAAATAGTTTCCTTTGTACTTCTAAAATTTGTTTTAAGTATACTTATCACGACTTTGGAAAGGGTTAAGTAACTACATTGAACTTTAAATCAGAAAATTTTGTTGTTTTTTTTAAAATAGAGGGAAAATTAAAACACGAATATCTTGTTGTTTTTAAACCTAAATTGAATTATCCGGTTAAATTTAAAAATAATAAAAAGAAACTATTTTTCTATTGTTATTTCGCTACAACTAAAAATTGTTTCTAAATTTCTTTGCGAAGACGGTACAAGTTCATGAAGCAACTATGTTACACTTAAAATTTCAGGAGGTATTATATTTACTAACAAATAAACTACAATGTAGTTAATAGATATAGTTCAAAGTTTATATTTCTTATTTACAAATATTTAATAGAAATATCATTCATTTACCTGAATAAACTCGGTCAATTATTATATTTTTTGAGTTTTTTTTTCTTGCAAAACTTGAAATTTGGGTGGAGATTTACTCTTGTTTCTCTTTTAACCTATTTCTGAAAGAGACGAAAATGAACAACTGTTTCTCAGTATCAGCTCGAGAGATCTCACCGATTCATCGATTATAATGGAAAAAATATGATATATTTCTTGGATTTAAAAAAAACATACTAATCAAGGGACCGTTCATATATTACGTAAGCATCTTTCTGGCAATTAAACCCTTCCTTGTGAAAGTAACTAAAGTTAGTTACATCCCCTTATAAGCTTATCTACTTTATGTTTTAGATTTACATCCCCTTATAAGCTTATCTACTTTATGTTTTAGAAAAAGCAATCAGCTTTAAGAAATTCGATAACTATACACAGTTTTATTGTTGTCGTAATCGACGCATGATTTTCAAAAATTTAACTATCCAAAATCATTTATTTATTTTCAAAAAAATAATAATAAATAAATAAATAAACAGTACCAGAACTTTCTTATTTCAAATCTGTGAAGAATAAAGCTATTAATTTTTTTCTTAAAAAAAAGGGGAAAAAAACAGTACCAGAACTGGCTTATTTAAAATCTGTAAAGAATAAAGATATGAAATTTTTTTTAGGAATAAAGAAAATAAAAACAGTACGAGAACTTTCTTATTTAAAATCTGTAAAGAATAAAGATAATTTTAAAAAAAAGAAAAGAAACAAACAAAAACAGTACCAGAACTTCCTTATTTAAAATCTGTAAAGAATAAAGATATTAAATTTTTTTAAAAGAAAAAAAAACAGTACCAGAACTTTCTTATTTGAAATCTGTAAAGAATAAAGATATTAAATTTCAGAACTTGCTTATTTAAAATCTATCAAAAATAAAGATATTCGATTCTTAAAAAAAGAAAAGAAGGAAAAAAACTTATTTAAATTGTTTGCGAGATTTGAGAGTCCATTGCATAGAGATTTGAAAAAATAGTTTACAGGTGATTATAATTTTTTTTTTTTAGAAACATGAAATGTTTATCTACCCACACATCAAATATTTGTTTTTGAATCTAAAGTCAAAGCTTTGCATTTTCTGGTGCAATATATCACCTGCTTTGCTAAAAATATTGACTACTACAGCAGGGTTCTCACGGTTTGGAAAAAATTTTTTAAGTGGCAGCAAAATTCAGATAAATCTGGATGAGCTACAGTAAATTTTTAATTGAAAGTAAATATATATATATGGGTGCAAAAAATACCTCGGGAATAATTTCGTAATTCTCAAAAGAAAGCGAAATTTAAGCATTTATCAGTAGTCTTGAAAAATCTTAGTTACTACTCATTTATTTTTCCACTACTCATTTATTAGTTACTACTTACTTTCATTACTACTCATTTATTAGTTACTACTCATTCGCGGGAGCCCTGTACATGGATGCCTAAAAATGCATTGAAGGAATGCTTTAATGTAAAAGTATTTGTTTAGGTATATGCCTTTCGGCACTTGCCTATTCATCGTAGTTAATTGCCAGTTGGTAAAGCAAGAAAACATATCTGAATTGGGTATACTATAGCCTACGTCACAGGTTGTGTTATTCCTACTAAATTTAACCCATGAACGGCATTTTCTGCGAGCCTAACTTCAAGCTACAAATAAACAAACGAAGTGTTTGATCGTTTAAATAGCTGCTCGCCAGATTTTATTGCATTATAAAGAAAAGTAATTGATATTCGATTTTTGATTAATAATTGATTTATGTGGATAGTGGCATNTAAAAAATTATTGTTAATAATTTTCTTCTCTTGTCATTATTTTTTATTTTTTTCCATATTCTCTGAATTTTTTAGCTTATTTCATGAGTTCTATATACTTGCAGCTTATGCGCAGTTAATAAAACTTATTCTTTTCGTTTTTCTCTTTGTTTTTATATTGCTATATATATATATGTATATATATATATATATATATATATGTATTTTAAATTATACCTCTGGGGATACTGAATTGGTGATCGATCGTTCTCTGGTTCAGGCCAAAATTGCAATCTGTGGATGAATGAGTAGGTGCACCCTATAAACGGGTGTAACGTATGAGTGTGGCAGAAGTCGAATTCTTGGCCATAGATGGCGCCACTGAAACACAAGAACAATCACATTCCTTATACCTTAATGGCCGACCACAACACCAACAGTTTACAAAAGAATATCAATGTACAAACAAATAAAATAGGTAAAAAGATAACAAGTATAAAATTAAGAATCTTATATCTTATATCCATCGTTGAACAGCCGACCCAATTTTGCGTTTACGACTACTAATGTTCAACTCCGTGGCCTTTTATTTTTGAGCTAATTCAGAAGACTAGGAAACTCCTGGATCAGTACCCCCAGAGGTATTGATTTGTTATGGGAACATGGAGGACTTTGCAACTCGACAGATTTAACGTGCATCAGTCACCATTTACTACGCAGGGAGTCTTCGGCCGGCTCGGATCGAACCCACGAACTCTTGGACATGGGCCCAGTGCCCTACCAACCAGGCTATCCCTTCCCAAAAATTTAAGAATCTGGGTAAAATGGAAGATTGAAAAAAAACAGTATTAAAATTTTACTAACTGTTGTTAAAAAAAATTAATTAAGCAAGCATTACGAAGTGCGTTAAAATTTTGACCACATAAACTACCACAGTGCTTTCAAAAATAGAAAGTAGTAACTAGACTGTAAGGAGATTTATTTTTTCTTGTTATTAGGTGCGAATTTCATGTAAAAATAAGTCTTTTTTTATGTTTTTTCCCCTGTATATATTCACAACCCTACAATAATGGAAGAGCAGAGATGTCAACTGCTCCGGACACGCCAAAATAATTTAAAAAACGGTAAAGAATTGCAAACTAAATTTTGCAAATACTTGACTAATTTTGCCTGCTTTCTAGAAAGTTTAAGGTGACACAACTTTAATAAGTTGTGAATTATATAAACCTACGAATAGTTTAGAAATAGTGGTAGATAAAAACCTAATAATTTGAATTTATTTAACCAGGAATTACAATTAATAAGCTACCACTTAAAAATATTTATTCGCTGTCCGGAGTAAGTTGGCATCTCTGGAAGAGATACTTTGAGTTTTCGAATTCTTCGAAATTTCTCAATAAAAAATTAATTCTTAAGGGATTATTTTATAACTTTCAAGATGTTCATGAGATTTTTCATATTAATCAATAAGATTTAAAGTTTTCTGAGGTTTGGGAGACCAGTAATAAATTGCGAAAGAAAAACGTATTTTTTAGCACCCTATGCCAAAAAATCAAACAATAGACTTGTAACTTGGATTGATTGTTTTAGTTGTTATTTTTTATAACTGCATAAAATTTTGTAAACCCAGAGTAAATACTTCTGAAGATATAGTCATTTATATACAGTAAAAAAAAAATTTAAACTATGAAGTTTCGAATGCCAAAAAATATTTAGGATGTAACTACATTAAAAATTCATAAAATAGAAAAAGAAATGAATTCAGATAAACCATCAGTAAACTATGAAGTTTCGAATGCTAAAAAAAAATTACGAAGTAACTACGTTATTAATTTATGGAATAGAAAAAAATTAGTTCAGATAAACCAAGATTAAACTATGAAGTTTCGAATGCTAAAAAAATATTTAGGATGTAACTACACTAAAAATTATAAATTTATTAAAAGAAATGAATTCAGATAAACCAAAAGTTAACAATGAAGTTTCGAATGCTAAAAAAAATTACGAAGTAACTACGTTATTAGTTTATGGAATAGAAAAAAATAAGTTCAGATAAACCAAGAGTAAACTATGAAGTTTCGAATGCTAAAAAAGTATTCAGGAAGTAGCAACATTAAAAATTTATAAAACAGAAAAAAATGAATTCAGATAAATCAAAAGTAAACCATGAAGTTACGAATGCTAAAAAAAATTACGAAGTAACTACGTTATTAATTTATGGATTTGAAAAAAATAAGTTCAGCTAAACCAAGAGTAAACTATGAAATTTCGAATGCTAAAAAAATATTCAGGAAGTAGCTACATTAAAAATTTATAAAATAGAGAAAAATGAATTCAGATAAATCAAAAGTAAACCATGAAGTTTCGAATGCTAAAATAATTTACGAAGAAATTACGTTATTAATTTATAGATTTGAAAAAAATAAGTTCAGATAAACCAAGAGTAAACTATGAAATTTTGAATGCTAAAAAAATATTCAGGAAGTAGCTACATTAAAAATTTATAAAATAGAGAAAAATGAATTCAGATAAATCAAAAGTAAACCATGAAGTTTCGAATGCTAAAAGAATTTACGAAGAAATTACGTTATTAATTTATAGAATAGAAAAAAAAATGAGTTCAGATAAGCCAAGAGTAAACTATGAAATTTTGAATGCTAATAAAATATTCAGGAAGTAGCTACATTAAAAATTTATAAAATAGAGAAAAATGAATTCTGATAAATCAAAAGTAAACCATGAAGTTTCGAATGCTAAAATTTTTTTTTTCGAAGTATCAAATTGAATATAAATAATGGCAAGATTAGAGGCTGCTATTAAGATTTGAAGTAATTAGTCCTAATTTGTTTATAATTAGATTTTTGTAAAAACAACTTTCAGCAATTGAAACTTTATACTGTATTCTTGGTTTATCTGGATTCATTATTTTCTATACATTAAATTTTAAATTAGTATTGTACTTGGAAGAAAATTTGTCACGCTATATAGCGTTCTCTTAGTGAAGGCGTGCCGTTTTTTATGTTTTGCATAGTACAATAAAAAAGCTCTTATTTCTAACTACTAAAATTAATGTTATTCAAATATAGTAATCGCAGCGTCCTGCCAAAAAAAAAATTTAAAATATTAGTCAATTTGCTATTACAATAACTAACAACAACTTTCAAATTAAAAAATTACTGAAATACTTAGTTTTTAGATTTCACTATATTTAAAAAAAGACGCTATCAGTTTTATTACTAAATATTATTATTTAAAATTGATAATTAAAAGTAGTATTTAGTTTCATTGAAAGATTCGTTAAAAGAGTAATGTTCGCGTATGAGTTGTTATTAAAAGAAAG